CCCAGGTGACATCATGGGCACTGCTATGCAGAACCTGCACCAGCTCCTCCAGATGCCATTTGGCTGTGGGGAGCAGAACATGGTCCTGTTTGCACCCAACATCTACGTCCTGAACTATCTGAACAAGACAGAGCAGCTGAGTGAGGAGGTGAAGACCAAGGCCATTGGATACTTAGTGAGCGGTGAGATAGGACGTGGCTTTTGCTTCTGATTTTGCTTTCTTGCAGATCCTGCCTGGGGTGGTTTTGTCAAATGTTGACCAGATGTGGAAAGAGAGCTTCTCTCATACACAAATGGTCTCTGCTATATACCTGAGACTTTTCCCTTGATTATTTTCTGTTACTTAAACATTACGGTACCTGATCATTGCACCCACTGTTCTCATTGGGTGCCAACGCAGTGCAGAGTTGTCAGGTGACCTGTTACAGTGACTTATTCATTGTCATTAATATGTCCTGCTTTCCTTCCGAAGAAAGGCAGGTATTGCTTTTCCTCATGCGGTACAAGCAATGCATGGAGCTGGGGATATGCCAGTGCATTGTATTGGCTAGGAGGACTGACCTATCCTCTCTCATCTGTCTTTGCTGACACAGCTGTTTTTCTGTTTCCCCATCCCTCAGCAGACTCTTTCTGGCATCTGAATCTTTAACTCTCCATTGCAGGTTATCAGAGGCAGCTGAACTACAAGCACATAGATGGGTCTTACAGTACCTTTGGACCACGTTATGGCCAACCAGGGAATACCTGGTAAGATTTCAATGTCACCTCTCCCTTCCCTATATGCTCCTCTTTCTCACTCACATATTTATAATGAATACTGCCTGACGTAAATAGGAAATGCTGTTTGTAGACCAGCAGACCATGAGCTAGCAGGAATTTTATTATTCTTCCCTGTAATTATGAGTACTACTGTTATGCAGCCATTTAACTAATTGTCATGCAATACCCTACATTTTCCAAAGAGGGATTTTTTTTAGATACAGATGAACATTGTCCTTCAAACTGTAGTCTCAACACAAAGGGATGACAGAGTTTTAAGAGCTGAGAGTGGGACAAAAATCAAGGTGAAAAGAATTTTTTTTTTACAGAATATTTTGAGGTGAGGATACAAAATACATGAGGTTTGACCAATTGGCTCACAGTTCCCCAGGCCTTCTTGCCTGTCTCCAGACAGATGATGTGCACATGAACCCTCTCACTTGAGATGGACAACAGGCTTGCTCAGGCGCTTTCTCTTTCTCCCTTTCAGGCTTACAGCCTTTGTCCTCAAGTCCTTTGCCCAGGCTCGGCATCATGTCTTCATAGATGAGAAACACATCCAGGATGCTTTGGTCTGGCTGTCCTACAAACAGAAGCAGAATGGATGTTTCCAGAGTTCTGGGACACTCCTGAACAATGCCATGAAGGTGATGTGTTTGCCTGGTCATTACTTCATGGGTCTAGAAATTTACATGAGTCAGATGTGTGCAGTTGAGCTTCTTGAACGCACAGGCAGGTGGGTTGTTGCCATTTCAAAGGCAAACACTAGGGAAGTAGCCATGTGCCATTCTGTATGATCACCAACCTGCTCTAATCAGTGGAACTGATACCTCCACATCAGCTGCAAAAGGAAGGGGGAAAGCTAAGGCTCTACAATGCAGTACAGTGTATGCCCACTGGAGCGGGAGAAAAGACTGAAGATAAGAAGATAGGTGGGATCAGCATCTATGTTTGTGTTTTCCTACAGGGTGGAGTAGATAACGAGGTCTCGCTGACAGCCTACATCACTATCGCGTTGCTGGAAGTTCCTCTGCCTGTAACTGTACGTAGCTGCACCTTAAGTTGAGTCAATTGTGTTGTGTTAGTCTATGACACAGTATGACCAGTATTTGATCCAGACTGGAAAAATGACTTCGTTGTTGAACCCTGTGATATAAGAATTATGCTGTCAATATCTTATTTCTGAAAACCATTGTACCCTACTCATTTTTAGACCTCATTCTGGCCGAACCCTCCTGAAGGTTCAGTGAGATGATGTGCTCTTAGTAAGTCAAAAAAACTCATTGCTCCCGAACCTTCTAATCACTGGTTATCTCTCCCCAGCACTCGGTGGTGCGGAATGCTCTGTTCTGCCTGGAAACAGCAGCGGATCAGAAAGAAAACCATGTGTACACCAAGGCACTGCTAGCATATGCATTTGCCCTGGCCGGGAAAATGGACAAGCGGAAGACATTGCTTGACTCACTTGAAAAGGAAGCTGTGAAAGAGGGTGAGTAGTCCTGATGTGACGTCTCTTTCATTTGCCTTACATCTTCCCTTGACAAAATGGCATTTGTTGGTGCGGAAATCTAGGATTGAGGCTCAGCAGTCTCATACTAGCTGTAAACCTGCAAAATGTGTAAACCTAACCCTTCCCCCTTCATCCTACATGATAGATGCATCCTGGAGGCTGCATCCTCCCACCTGGAGTTGCAGCAGATCGAGAACTCCACTGCAATAACTAGTAATAATTGCTTGTTGTCTTGTCTCCATGCTCCTCACGTGCTGTGAAGATGGGTCTGTTCATTGGCAGCGGCCTGGGAAAGAGCCAGAGGTTGATCTCCCATACTATCGCCACCGAGCTCCCTCTGCTGAAGTGGAGATGACAGCCTACGTGCTCCTTGCTTACCTCAGCTCTCAGCCAGCACCTTCCCAGGAGGAGCTGTCATTTGCATCTCGTATTGCAAAGTGGATCAGTGGTCAGCAGAATCCCAATGGAGGCTTCTCCTCCACCCAGGTGAGCTACTTCACATCAATGTCGGAGGATGGGACATGTCAAAGAGCCAGATGGGAGCCCATTAAGGTTTGCCAGGAAGGCAGGAATATTAGACCTGCAGTATATCCATGCAGTATTCCATGCAATACCCACCATGGCTGCCAAGTGCTCCAGAAGCTAGAGGCAAGAATGTCAGGTAGTGCCTCTGGGAAGGGAGCAGGAACATGTAAAAGCTGCTCTTTGCCTCTGTCTTTTCTGTGTAATACTGGAGAAAGTGAAGGATGGAGGGGAGGGTGCCACAGAAAGGCACACTTGAGGGAGGGCAGGCTATGGAAGGGCTGACTGCACCCGTCTGGGTGCCGGGATCTGTCTCTTTCAGGACACAGTGGTGGCTCTCCAAGCCTTGTCCCTGTACGGAGCTCTCACTTATGCCAAGAGCAGGGCGGCTTCCAAAGTGAGGCTGCAATCTGGAGGGAACTTCCAGCAAGACTTCCAAGTGGATCCCACAAACCGACTGCTGCTCCAGCGCGTGTCCCTTCCCTGGGTGCCAGGGGAGTACAGCGTGGAGGTGTCTGGTGAAGGATGTGTCTACCTGCAGGTGAGGGAGATAGGGACAGGAGGCATCCTGGGAGGGGAGCCCCTTGCCAGGCAGGAGGCATGGAGAGGGCAGAATCATAGAACCCTCGAGGCTGGAAAAGACCCTAAAGATCATCAGGTCCATCTCCATCTGGAGAAGAAGGGACAGGAGAGAGGGGAAAAGTGGGAGGGAAGACTCTGTGTAAAGGGAAGAGGAGAAGAGCAGAGTTATGTGGAAGAGAACGAGTGGGAGGGAAGGAGGGAAAGACCTGGAGTGTGGAGGAGCTGTGAGAATGGGAGAAGTGGGGAGGCTGGGTGGGGGAGATCATCCCCTCTCTCCAGCATTGAGCATCACGCACCCGTGCTCACACGTGGCTGCTGCCTGTCCCCTAGACAAGCCTGAGGTACAACGTGCAGCCCACGCAGGAGGATGCACCTTTCATGCTTCATGTGTACACAATCCCAGAGACATGTGTGGACTCCAAGGCTCACAAGGTCTTTGACATTGGCATAAATGTCAGGTGAGTCTGTGTTTTGGTCGGAGCATTCCTGTCAAGCTGTGGGAGCTGCAGGATGTCTGGTTGTCCCCAGGGTGAGCCAGTCTGGAAGCCCTGGAGGTGCAGGGAATTCCTGGGATGATGGGCGAGAAGCAGCTGGGCTGGGTCCTGCAGTGGTGCAGTTATGTGGGAAGCCTAGAGCTGGGCTAGTGAGAGGCTGCCGAGATGACTAGGAGAACCTGGCCTAGCTGGAGAAGAAGGTGCTGGACTGCCAGGACTTGGTGTGGTGCCAAGTGCTATGGATAAGCTGGAAGTGTCCCCAGCTTGGCCTTGATGTGCACTGAATCTTTGTTGCTCAATTCCTTAGTTACACTGGGGAGCGCAACAGCTCCAACATGGTGATTGTTGATGTGAAGATGCTGTCGGGATTCATCCCCTTGAAGTCCTCAGTGAGGAAGGTAGGATGCTGTTTGTCATACAAACAACATTGAATCATAAAATGATCAAATCGCTAAGGTTGGAAAAAACCTCTAAGTCCAACCTCTGTCTGAGTGTCACCATACCTACTTATTACTGTATCACAAAGTACCATGTCTGCTCTTTTTTTGAACACTTCCGTGGATGACGACTCCACCACTTCCCTTAGGTAGACTGTTCCAATGCTTAGTCACTCTTTCAGTGAAGAAACTTCTCCTAATATCCCACATAAACCTCCAGTGGCAAAACTTCAGGCCATTCCCGATTGTCCTGTTGCTATTTGCCTGGGAGAAGAGACAGAACCTCAGCTGGCTATACACTTCTGTCAGGTAGTTGTAGAGAGGAATAAGTCCCCCCAAGCCTTTTTTCTTCAGACTAAACAATCACAGCAGTCTCAGCCACTCCTTGTAAGACTTACATTCCAGTTCCTTCTCCAGCATCTCTGCCCCTCTCCTAACCTCAGTGTCTGAAGTGAGGGGGCCTAAAACTGAACACAGGATTTGATGTGCGGCCTCACCAGTACAGAGTACAGGGGGAAATCTTCCACCTCCTTATTTTCAAGACCCTTTCAAATGTCTGTAGCAAACTGCAGGGTGCCAGCTTGATTTTGCCGTTGTCAGCTGCACATTTGATGTGTACAGTGTTCTCTTTTCATACATGGCTTAAGGCCACTGCAAGGGGAGATGATATTTAATTTAGGAAAAACAGACGAAATAACTTGTTCTTTAGACTAGTGATGGGAACTTTTATTTTCACTGTTTCCCAACAGCTCCCTGTTAATATTGTCTGTGTATATTATATTCAAAGTAATGCTGTTTCCTTTTTCCCTCAGCTGATCTAAAAACATCTTATAGCATTGTAACTTTTTAGGTGTTGGGTAACTATTGGAGATGCTGAGTACATGCAGGAACTGGAAAATAAAGGCTATAATAATAAAGTGCAGAACTAGCAAGCCAGAAGGAACATATTTTTAATTAATTGTTCCATCACTGTGCTTGAACCAGTGCTAGTCTCTTCTGAAGCCAGGTTGTACTTCATCAACCAGACTGGTGAATGGAAGGCCTGGGGACTATGATCCCTACGTGGCACAACAAGGAGGCAGTTCTGTACTGCTGACTTAGTTCCCTGGGTACTACAGTATTTCATCCAAAGTGTATCACATCCACAGAGCTGTGCAAGTGGCATGGGGGGACCACTGTCAATGCAGTAACATCTTGGTCTTCTTCCTTCAGCTGGAAGGCCACCCTGTTATTCAGCGTACAGAATTAAGTA